TTTTTTTCAATCTTAAGATGGATATTTTCTTTCAAACAAGTTTCGAGCTTCCACTCTACTCTGTTTCACTCTTTTACAGAAATTCTATGTTTGAGGAGGAAGAGGTCTGCCAACAGTAATATACTAACAATGCCAACTTTTGGCCTGCAAAGCGCGTTCTCAAGACTTTAAATATCCTGTATCCTTGTTCAAAAATGTATCGGCGCGAGACGGTATTTTATCACTTAAAATTTATACTTAGATCTTCAATTTTAGTACCCATCTAATCATATTCATATTTTATCTTTTGCATTCTTATATTAATATCTTAAAGAACAAAACCTGCGAATTATACCACTCTGCTGCTGCTATAACTACCCTTTCACTCAAATAATAGCTGACAAATAATCGATTGAAATAATTTTACCTTGTATCTTTTAATTTCTACTATCATCTTTTTTTCCGTCAGCTATTATTTAGTTTTTTAATGTACCGAATTGTACTCAGCCAATATAGGTAGCTGAGTCATGGATCGTGTGGATCATCTGCGCTGTTGCTTCAGCTTACTTTCTTTCTATGGCTTGCAAAAACCAAAAGAGATTGCTGAAGCATCAGTAAGTGCTTATTCCTACATAAATTACTCTTTTCGCATCAAATTTTCTTACATCAGGATCGTAATGAAGCGCGGCTCTGCAGTTGACAGAGAAATTAATCAGAAGTATGCAAATGACAAGAAGATGAGCACCAAGGAGAAGGAGGTTTGTTGTCGTTTCTTTGTAACCTTACTTTTGATTTCCCACTTATTTGTGAGATTATGAGTTTTTTCTTTGCATTGTTTCGCTAATCAAGTAATTCTTCATATTCAGTATATTTCACCATTCATTTCACTCATTTATTTACTTCACATTTAACCCCACCTCTATTTTAAATGATTTTAAAAAAGATTTTACTCAAAAATGAAAGGCGAAACTATGAGAAGTTTCTTAGCTTGTAGCTTAGTGTACTTCTATACTCAGATCGGCTGACACCAATCGGTTGATCCTATACAATCATAGTATATGCACGCGGATTTACTCCAAGTAAGGGCCAGGGCAAGAAATTTCTATACGCAAATTTTTTGATGCCACTTTCACATAGCAAAAATGTTTTGTTTGGGAGCATATTTGAAAGGTTCACGTTGTAATGTTCTGAGTTATTATTTAATGTAAATTGTGCATGTTTTATAATTGTGTAGAACAGGCTGGTTGGTGTTTACCAATGCAAGTATGGTCGTAGTCAACCCACTGCTGAGTATTTTCGTACAAAATTCTTATCTTCAAGTTTTCAGGAGCGCGCTCTTTTCCGCAAGAACGAGGTTGCCGATTCCGAAGCCACCTACTTATCGATTTTCTTCACAAACGTCTTGTTCCTTTCGATAATGTTGTTCCTAGCCTTCTTCCTTCTTGCAAATCTCACGCCTATTTTCAATTCTCTTCTCTCTGTCATTGGCGCCGCTGGACTCGTAGCTTTCCTGTCTACCGCAAAAAACTAGATATTAATTCTTATTCACATTTTTCTTGTTGTTTATGTGACGGGCGGAATACATTTAATATTTTATTATTGTGTTTTACCGCAATGTTGTACTCATTTCTTGGAAGCATAGTTTGGATTTCAAAAAAAGTTTTTTTATTCTTTTAGCTCATTTTTGGCTTGAAAATGCCTTTTATAACGCTATAAGATAGAAGATCTTTCTATAGTATTTCACTACTACAGAATGTTTATCGGCAATGAACCTCGTGAACGTCCCGTCTCACCAATTTTTACCAATGATGGAAATAAGCCCCATATGCGGCGAAATGGCTTGCTAGAGGATGGTATGCTCAAAGTACGTTATTTACGGAGAAGCTGTTATCATGGGATTTCTCTACGGTTTTGGTGAAGAACGAGCATTGCACATGTCTCTTGAACTGTGACCATCATGGCATGTATACATCTAAGGGAAAAACAATGAGTTAAAATGAGAAAAACTTTACGAGAACAATGAGCACTTGAAAATTTGGGTGAAAGCCAGGATTACGAGAAAAGCAACCTGGATCTTGGAAATTTCCGATTGGGCTACAGAAAGCGGTCACAAAAAAAGGAATCTGCATTTGATCTTGCGTTAGTTTGCATCGCTATTGAAACCGAGTCCAGACCTGTTTTCAACATCAGCAGTTTACATTAGACAAAATTCTGAGAACTTCTGAGTAAAAGGGTAGCGAGAAAGTAACTGAAATCACATCAATATCAAAATATCCTCTTAAGGATTATCTTTTTCTAGATTGTGAATACATGTTCATTCATAGTTATATATTAAACGTAGTATGCATATTTACTTACTCTCACGGAATTAAAGGCAATGTTAGGGCATTTTCGACTCCAGGTTTTCCACCTTTTCTAGACTCGGTGCGAAAAAATAGCAACTTTAATCACCGTGAGTCAAAAAACAGGGATCCGAGCTCTCTCTGGATTGGTGGGGATTGGCGATGAGTGCCAGAAGCGCTTTTGTAAATCGACTTTCGGTCTCCAAAGGTCGCAAGCCTTTTAAGCGCTTTTGAGAGAAGCAAATTACGTCGGTGGGGGGAAATCGCTGGGAGGCGGTTGAGTGGCGCCATTTTTCCTGGCTGTTCATCACTAAGTTTCTGATCTTCAGAGGGGAAAAAA